TTGTCCCATAGACAATGTAATACGCTTTTTTTTGGAAGACATGGTGAAATATGAATAAAGGAAATAAAATTTTCGATCTTACAATTTTTACAATCAAATGATTTTAATTTAATTGACATCTGATATTTTACTATATTAGTATAAATTTGATATATTAAAAAAAAAGTTAAATTTTATAATGATGATTATTAAATTGAGAAAAAAATCATTTTTTATAACGATCATCAGTATATCGAGAAAAAAATCATTATCAACTTATCGCGAATAAATAATTATAACTGGTTTACAACTAAAATTCGGTATATGCAATATCGCGAAATTTATAATAAAATCAGTATATAATGATAAATTTTATTATAAATGGTTTTGGTTTAAGGAAAAAGTTTGTTATAGGTCAAAATCAGTTTATTGCAAATCGTTATATCGAGTTCTGACTGTATATGCTCCGTTTTACTCTACAGAGTGTGAACACTATTTGCTTTCATATCTTGTATACATGCTTTAAGGAAGCAATTTGGTTATATTATATATAAAAAATTTATGTTATTCAGGATGAAAACTATATAGGGTTTGGATTTGTTTGTGCTAAAGTGAAATTTTATTTTTTACATATAGGAAACAAATATTTACAGAACGAATAACAATCAGGAAAGCAAAATGATTTCCTTAAAATCACATGTATATTTATAATGGGATTACGCTATGAGATTAATTTTTGATATTCAGGATGACCTTCTAGGAGCATTTAGACTTTTGTACTAAAAAGCCTATTTATTAACTAATAACATCAAAATATGCTTTTAATGTTTATATAGATAAATTTTTTTGAGCATTACTTTATTTCAATTTTTTTGTACAAAAGGCATTAGAGCTTATAAAACTATAAGAACAAATACTGCAAAATTTCTTATTATTTTAAAAAGAAAAAGAAAAAAAATTTAGAATGGAATTATTTAATAGGAGTAATAATAGAAGAAGTTTTGGCTTTATTATGAATTAATAATAGACCTATAATAATATTAATAACAATTCATATGATCAATGGTAAAAACAATAGAATTGAAAGAAAATATAAAAAATTATATAAAATAAGCACAAATAGTAATAATGTTAGATTTGTATTTAAAAATAAAGTTCAAAAAATATTACTAATTCTAATTATAATTGATGATTATAATTATAATATGAGAGGAGTGAATATTGTGAATCAATTAAAAAGTTATTATTTAACGCAGCTAGCAGATTTAAGAATATGAATACCTTTTTTTAGTTATTGGATACTACTATTATTAATTCATATTTAATTTATAAGAAATTAGATATTATTAATAAATATAAAGAATTTAGATTGATATTGATACAAGAATTAGTTAAAGATACTTTAAGTGATCCTTTAAAAAGAAAAACCTAAAATGAAGAAGATAGTGAGTTAAATATCAAAAAGAATAATAAAAAAAATTATGTATTTTATTAAAATTTGAATTACTATTATGTAGATTAATTAGAAATAATCATTATTCTGAATATAATGATAAAAGAAAAAAATATTTATGATATCGATTTAATATTAAAAAAAAATATTAATTTATCTCAACAAAATCTATTACAATCTCAAATTTGATGTAATAGTTATAGTGTTGCTTTATGTTATAATAAGACTTAGCCTAATTGTTTTAAAGAATTTCATATATATATTAAAATAAACTTATAAATATCTTTTATTTTAATAAAATTATTTTCAAAAATTATCAATTTTAAATTATCTGATAAATTTACATATTATTAAATCATAAAAAGATTACTTTGTTTATTAAAATATAAAGTAAAAAAAATACTAATTAACTTTAAAAATATTTATTATTTTTTTTTACAGAAATAAATTTTTTCTAAAATATGAGTAGCTAAAAGTGATTTCAAAAACGATTTTTATAATAATTTTTAAATTTTTATTAAATTAAAAATAAATTAAAAATTGTCAAATTATTCTTTTAATACAATAATAATGAAGTTATATGAATGATAGAGTATAATGATCTTTTAATCTAAAATTCTGAAAATGCTAAGAATTCTGTAAATTTTAAAAATACAGAAAATCTATGTAATCTTATAAATCCTTTAAATACTAATGATAATCCTAATTTCACAAATTAAATAAAATCTAAAAATATTCAATTTTATATTTATTCTTAATATTTTACTTTTTATTATTATTTTTATTATTTTACGTATTTTTATTATCTTTAGTTTATTTATATTCATTTATCAAATTAATTAATTTATAGCATAGTAAATAGTTAGTTGTAATAAAAGAAATTTTGTATAAATAGATAATAAACTTTTTTGCAGATTTAAAACTCTTTTATAAATATGAGTTTAATATTAATAAAGGAATCAATTAAAACTTATATTTTTCTGCCTCTTTATGTTTTCATATAGTTTAACGTAATCTCTACATATTATTTATAATTGAGTTTATCATCTAATTCTTTAATTAAATTGTTCATAATCTTGTCTTTCAAATCTTCATATTTGATAGATTTTTTAATATATAAATTTAATAAATTTAAGTATTAAATAAATCCTAACGTCTTAATCACAATAAACTGCAATTAATAATCTCAAGTAGAGACTTAAAGAAATGATTAACTCAAATTAAAAATTTCACAGTGATAACAGGCAAATTTGCCTGCTCTATAGTTTAAAAGATAATTATTATTTTTATTATTTATATTATTTAATATTTATATTATAATTTTATTTTATAAGTTTTCATTATTTTATACTTTAGCAAATAATTAGTTATAGTAGAATAATTTTATATAAATGTATTATTTTGTTTAAGTTATAAATTAACTCTTTTGCAAGTTTGTAAACTCACTTATAAGTTTTTTAGTTTCAAGTTATTAATAAAGAATCAATTGAAAACTACACAAATTACTTTTCATTTAATTTTATTTTTTATTTAGAATTTGTTATAATATCTATACTAGCTTATTTTTAAGTTTGTCATTATGATTTTAATTAAACATATCTTAAATTCTAAGACGTAATAAATTGCTAAATAAATTTAAATATAATAGATATAAGTAGAATTTAAAGAAAATCCTAAGGTTATAAACTTCAATAAATAAAATCAATTGTTATAACCTTTTAATTTAGATGTTAAGATTACTAAAAATGAATCCAGTAATAATGTACACAATATGCATATGTATACATTTTTAGTGTATACATATTATACCATATAAAATATGTATAAATTATTATTAAAATAATTAAATTATATATATATATAAAAGCAAGTTTACATAAAGAACTAATATAATTTTTTATTTAGTAATAAATTTATCAATTAGTATATATGACTTTTAGTTTTTATATACTAAACATAATTATATTATTTTTACTACATAAATAATATTAAAAAAATATTAGAATTTATTGTAAAAAATAATAAAATTAATTAAATTAAGATAAATATATTATTAATAAAATATAATACAAATTACTTTTAAAAAGATTGATACTAGTTTATATATTAGAATTATTAAATTAAAAAAATAATATTAGTAAGTTAAAAATGAATTTATTGATATTAATAAATTATGCATTAAATTTATAATATTATTATAGGTAATTTAAAAAGATATAATATATATTTTAAGAAGATTTGAATTGAAAAATACTATTCTAATTAATGTTGAAAGATATATTTATAATATTTATCTTTTCAATTAAGCTAAATCAATGATTATTTAGCTGACTAATATTTATGATATAAAATATTTAAAAAAAAATTTCATAATATACAGTAATGAAGAAATTTATATAAACTAAAAAAGGTTAGTATTATTAAGTATTTTAGATATAACGAAAAAATGTGGCTGACACACATCACGTGAATTGAAACATTTTTTGTGTAATCATCAGAAATGATGGAGAAAAAAAAAATTTTTTTTTCTTAAAATAAAAAATCAGTTTCCTTCTAATAATTTTTTTTCCGATCGTGTTGAATAATATATTAAAACATGGTAAATATGTAGTAATAATTTTAATAATTAAAGGAAGAATTTGAAAATTATAAAACTTGTCGAATATAATTAGAAATGAAGCAAGATGGTTTGGTAGATAATAGGATTGAAAAATAATAAGCAAAAAATAAAACATTAATTATACGAATGATTTTAATTGATTATAGCCTACAAGAATCAAGAAAAATAGAAAGAAACGCGGACATGTTTCTGCAGGGCATGGACGTATCGGTAAGTACAAAATTAAAAGCTTTTTGTTATGAATCAATTTTAAATCAATTTTAAATCAATTTTTTCTTTTTTTTTCATCTTCCCTCTTTGATCGTAGGTAAACATCGCAAACATCCAGGAGGAAGAGGTCTTGCAGGTGGTCTACATCATCACCGTACCAATATGGATAAATATCATCCAGGGTATTATGGTAAAGTTGGTATGAGATATTTTCATTTAACCAAACAACAATATCATTGCCCTATTGTCAATTTGGACAAATTATGGACTTTGGTATCTGAACAAACGAGAACTACTTACGCCAAGAAGAAAGATGTTGTACCCGTTATTGATACTTTAAGAGCGGTAAGTAGGGTGGACGACATCATTCAAAATTACTTTTTTAAATGGGTTGATTTATTTATTTTGTTAATTTTTTTATTTTACCGATTATAGGGATATGGTAAAATATTAGGTAAAGGTAAATTACCTAATCAACCCTTAATTGTAAAAGCGAGATATGTTTCTAGAAGAGCTGAAGAAAAAATAAAGAAAGTTGGTGGTATCGTTCAATTAGTAGCATAAATCAAAATAAATGACTATTACGATAAACGTAGTTTGATTTTTTAATTACTATTAATCTTATTTTTATGTGAATATTCTGAAGACAATAAAATTTCAGTAATTGTTATTTGCGAGAAATAAGAAGTCGGGATCGATTTATTACGTAAAATTTCTTCACATAAATAATGATTTCTATTAAACAATTTGTTCTAATTCTCTAGCATAAGTAAGTGCTTGTTTAATGATACTATCCGAAGGTATTTCGACATGATCATCATCTTTAGTAGTAAAATGTATTTTCTTTTCAGCTTCACTCACATTCCAACCACGCTAAATAAAATTGGGTTAAAAATATATGAACAAAAAAAATAGAATAAATAAATAAAATGATTATAATGATAAATATTGCTTACATCTCTCGCAAAACTTAAGAGTTCATTAGTATTATTCTTGAAAAATAACAAAGTAGCAGCGTCAGCTAATGGTAAATTTGAATAAGCTTTCTCGCTGCAACTAGCAATCTCACTCCTGCAATAGATAAAATTATAAGTGAAATAATCTGATCTCTCTTTCATATGAATATCGGTAATTACCTGATAGTGCCCATCAAAATATCAATGAAAAACAGATATTCTGGAGCAGGTACTTCATTTCTTGAATTCCAAACTTTATTATAACTACCTTCCATTAGATATTGTTCTAAATGAACCGGATGTTTAATGTAAATATTCTCTAAGAGTTGTTCGGGTTCAATATTCTCTAATGCCGTATGAAATTCTGCAATTCTATTTTGAGATAATAACCTCAATAAATTTAATCCCGTTAAAGGATACATTGATTGTGAAGGTGGAAGTAATGAACTATTCATTAAAATGGAAAAATAAAATCTTTGTGAGAAAATTTTTTTTATTAAAAAAAATAAATAAATAAATGTACCTATAATCAGTATAATAAGTGTTTAATTGTGCTATATATCTCTCAAATGATGGTATATCTTTGGCACGAACGCTCCAATACGCACCTATCTCCAATATGTCACCTATCAATTATAAATATTTAATAATTAGAAGTACCTTAAAAATAAATTCACCTATTATTTACATACGCGCAACAAGGAGTTCATCTGAATTATTAATCTCTCCTTCCGGAAGCAAAAGTTGCATTTCAGATAATGCGATCTATCAAGTGAGTTTCTTTATAAATGTTTTTCAATTTCGAATGATTTACAAAAGCAATTTGTTATGATAAAAACCTTGAGCTTAGCTAGATATTCTCCACATCTTTTCAAATCTGGATTTGGAGAATTAAATTCGCTTTTAAGAGTGTTATAAAGTATTGATGCTTGTTTTATATTTGACATTTTTGAAAATTTCAAAAACAACCATGTTTCAATTGTATGGAGCTTTTTTTTAAAAATTCCCACGTGATGATTATTTTTTTTTTTAATTTTTATTTCTGATTGGCTATAATAACTCCAATCATAAATTAAATATCTAATTTTATATAGCAGATTTAAACGGGTTTTTTTTGATTATAATTTATTTAATTATTAAAATATAAATATAATATAAGCATTATCTAATTTCAATATAAAGTATAACAAAATTTATAGCATAGAAACAATTTCCAAAGTCTTCAATTTCCGATTGATAAATCATTAAGTGCTACACAAATAGCTGCCTTATGATGCCCATTATATTGTCTTATTGTCTCTCCTTGTTGCAATTCCCAGAGTCTTGCAACATGGTCTGAAGATGCTGTTTATATAAAATATCATTTAAAGGCATTATAAATGGATCATAATAAATAATAATTTCAAAGGTTATATAAGAACATTCACCTGTTACAAGATAAGCGGAATCGGCAGAAAATGCACAATCCCATACCCATCTTTGATGACCTTTTAATTCTTTGTCTAACTTGAATTCATGATTCGTAGCAGACCATATTTTTACCGTAGTGTCTGCAGAACAAGTCGCCAAGTGTCTTCAAGATTAATAAATTTTTAGTTGATAAAGATCAAACAATCAAATTCTACAAAATACGAATATCAACAGACATACTTGACATCAGGACTCAACAAACATCGAGTTATATATCTTTTATGTGCCGAGAATTTCGTTATAGGTTGTAAATCTGTACAATCTCTCGCATTTGACATCTTCCATACATAACAATTACCCTAAAAAATTCAAAGGCTGTAATTAATTTAAAAAAGCGTTGTATTTTTTTTTTAAAAAAATTAAAAAAAAAGGGAAAGCGTGATGATTTATTACTTTATTATTTGCTGCCACTAACATGGAACCATCAATAGCAACCGTAACTGAGCGTAGTGGAACATCCTCTTCTGGAACCTACAGAAAACAATAAATAGGTTAAATTTTCGCAGCGAATAAATAAATTACTTATATCAATTTTGAAAATTAATTGATCATACATACCAATTCATGGGTGCAAGAATTTTCTCCCAAATCCCAAATCTTTATACTTCCTTTTTGATCACAAGAAATCAATTCGCCTTGATTTGGATGAATCGCTACATCATTAACAGGTGACTTATGATCATAATTACGTTGTATCGACGGTGCTCTATATCAATTAACAATATTATTATACGAGTAATTACATTCAATTTCAAATTTCAATTCAATTCAATTTCAAATTACCTTGTATCCCAAATTTTTAAGGTTCCATCTTCGCTACCAGTTACCATCCATTTTCCCTCACAATGAAATCCAACAGCCGTTACATTTCCGGCATGTCCGTCAAAAGAGGTGATCTGAAAGTAAAGAATTTTGAAATTTAGATTTGAAATCAATGTATATAATATAGAGATTAATACGAATCACGAACCGGAACAATATTATACCGGATTAGGATTAGGGCTGTTAATATCATATAATCGGATATGCTGGTTTCCTAAAAATATTAATTTAAATGTTTACTGATATTTATACTTGCTTTTTATTTGAAAGAAAATAAAAATTACCTGCTGCAGCAAGATACCTTTTGTCTGGAGAAATACATAACCTATTCACTTGCTATTTTGTTATGTTTAATATTAGCAAAAGTTAAAAAGGTCAATGAAATATATAATTTATTTATTTTATTTTTTTACCGAATCGGGGTGTTGAATTGTTCTTGAACAAATTCCACTTAAAGCTTCCCAAAAACGTATAGTATGATCATAACCAGCAGTTACTAAAATTACAGAATGCGAATCTTGGGGTTGGTTATATTGCTGTTGTGCATAATACTGGTGTTGTTGAGCTTGATAATTATTATAATGAGGTCTCGAGTGATGTTCTGCTCGTCTCATAATTAAAAATTTTTTTAATGCAAAGAAAAACGGTATGGCGTTTACGGTTTATTTTGTAGCCTGGATGACATATAATAGTGACAAATAGTTTCATCAACAGATTACTTTTATACACAGAGGGCGTGATTCGGTGATAAATAACGGAGCGAAGCGAAGCAAAGATGTAAATAAAATAATATGCCGAATTTGTATATTCACACGTTATTTATTAGAGATTACTTATTAAATATTACATGTAGTTTTTAATCAAGAATTAATTACTTTCGAACATTTAGTTGTCCATTGTATTAGGATAACCACAATTAAAAGTTTATTGAAGTTTTTACAGATTCCATTTGAAGAATAAGATTTAAATTTTTATAAAAAAAAAAATGTAATTATGCTTTCCTACAAATATGCGTTCAACTTATTTTGGACCAAATAACATATATCACATCCTAATCCACCCAAAGGAATGCGTGAAATATTAAAAGAACGAAATTTAATGGCGAGATGGATTAATTGAAGTTTGTTAATTATGTAAAAAAAAAAATAAAATTATAGATAATCAAAGAATAGATTGTTATGTGAGAAGGATATTATCATTACAGCCTGATTTTATTGATCAAAAATCTCATCAAGAAGAAATTGAAAAAAAGGATACAAATGTACGAGAAATTTTGCTAGGAAAATCATGCTCAGAGATCTTATCGACAAATCGTGTGATCTGTATTTTCACGTGACATTTTACATATAAGCAATATTTGAGAAAATTTTTCATTCAATTAGTACGACGAAAAAGAAATATCTTTAAAAAAATGGATCCAGCAACCAATTCATATGGACATGTCAGCGTACCTCCAAGCCTTTCTTACTTCTGTGTTTATAACCCTTCTTTCGGCCCTACGGAAGAAACACAGAAAGATCAACTACTCTATTATACTTCTAAAAACACCGTTCCAATGGATGTTAAAATGCGTCAAGTCGGACTTGCCCAGGGTTTAATAAACTTTACAAGGTTCGTGATCTACTTTTGAGCACAAATTTGTAGGTTTAAACTATAATAAGTCAGTTTATAAAGTGTATGTTTAAATAATTGTGGAATATTGCAATGAGGCAGTATTTGATCAGCAACTTAGATTTGAAAACAATTGTTGACCGAATGCCATTTTTAAATATAGTATTCTCTATTGCTGCGCCAAATTGCAGGGTATTCTCGCCCTCAAAACCTTGTGAAAATGTTCACACGCAAAAAAATCGTCTTGTGATTTACGAACCCGAACCTGATTATTGGATACATATTGTAAGTATAATACTATAAAAAAATTTCATTTGACTTTTATAATAAACCTGAGTATATTTTATTTCATTTTACACAAAAAGTCGATCGAATTAGGTTACGTAAAAAAGGCGATTAAAGATAAAGAAGGAAAGTCAAAAAACATCATTGAATATCTTGATGCAAATTTGCATGATTCTGGAGTAAGAAGAATGCTTGAACTGGGTTATGAAATGTATAGAGTAAGGTTGGAATGATTAGCTGTTAAAATTTTTTTTAAGACTAAAAGTACTAAAATTTATCAATTTCATGTTAAACTCGAAAGATTTTTAACGGTCCGTTTGAATATACTGTGAGAACCGCAGGAATTAAAGTTTTAAAAAATAAATTAGAAGAATTTTTTGCTAATTGGGTTTTTGAATGGGATTTTGAAAAAACGGAGTTAACCAAAACAGTTGACGGTATTTATTTTAACATATATGTTTCTCTATTTGGAGTTTTATCTTACTTTTCCGTTACTTTAGGTATCCTATATATGCCGTTATCCAACTCTGCTTATTCTCAAATAAAATCATTTGTAACTAAAATTCAGTCAGATTATGAATATATATCAGACATGTTTATGATTTGGCAGAACAAGTTGGTTTATCGTGGAAATGGTGTAATACCAGTTAATAATATTAGAGGGATATGGCGACATTTAGTTAGTTATATAGCGGAAAGAGATGCACTGGATCGAGATATTGAAAGAAAGAGAAAGAACAAAGAAGGCGAAAAGGTTGGTTAGTAATTTTATTATTAAATAATTTACGGGGAAGATTAATGGATTTTATTTTTTTCCTGCAGTCTTTATCATTTAAGGGTTTCACAAGAAGTATCTCTGGAAGTAACCTTTTTTCATATTTTTCGAATAATACGTCACCAAGAACTACACCAAAAGTTTCACCTAGTACATCTCCTCCGAATCCGTCATCTCCTCTAAATTCATGTCCTCATAGTTCTTCTACACCGCCTGATACATCCCTTCTATCACCATCAACGCAGATATTCGTTCCTGGATCTTCAAATTTCTTATTAGGACCAACTAATTTACATGGTCCTGATAAAGATATTCATCCCGTAACAGTTTATTTATCGAATAATTCAAGTGGTCGTATTAAGAAAATGGACCATCAATGTAATGACGAACATAAATACGAAGATTATTATGATGACGAAATTGATGAATATTACCTTATTGCCTATAAGGTACGAGAATTTTATGATTTCTTTTGATAATTTTTTAATATTTATCACATTAAAAATCTTCTGTTTTAAATAAATCTATCTAAACAGCAAAATGCGCTCACTCTAGTTTTCTTGATATCACTTAAATCACCGGAATGCTCTAAAGTACAAGATATGACTTTCTATAGGTCTTTCCACAATTATTTATCTTCACAATCGGAAGACATTATAAATGTTGTAAATGAAGATTACGAAAAGTCGAGAAAACTTGGGTAAGATTTGTATATCATTGAAGTTTATTAATATATCTTTAATATTTATATCGTATCAATTTTATATAATAGAAAACCAGACGCAGATAAAGAATATCGATATTTATTTTTCAATAAGATGACATTAGCTGTTAAATCATCTCTATACCCTTTTTCATCCAATGGAATTTTAACTTCTTCATCAAGAGGTCTAACAATTACGGGCGAAATGGCTCATGCTCTATGTGAGTTACATGAGGACCTTGAAAAGTATATATTGTTTCCTTTGATGCTCTCTTTCATTATTACGAATAGATCAAATCATAATTTCTTTTTTTTTTCCTTCTTTCAGATATCCACAATTGACAGAAATATATACTCGCTCTTCAACTAATTTTTGGATAGTTGGTAAAAGATCTGATGGACGAATATTATATATTGTTGTTCCTAAAAAAGAAGCAACATTAGCGGAAGTTGAAGGTAATTTGGCTTCTTGAATTTATTTTTATATCACCTTTTTTTAATAACTTTTTTTCAATTTATTAGAGGATGTAAGAAGATTAACGGCATTATATTTTTCTGGAAATTAATTGAATTTTAAGGAATAATATTTAAATATTTAAAATATTGTTTTTATTTATTGGTCAGATTATGAGGAATATGCATAACCTATTTGATACGATCATTTGAAAATTTACGTTTATCGGCATTTATCGTTTAGCATAGTCTTAATGGCTAACAATAAATCCGTTATTGAGCTGACGTTATATACCATACTAATGTTTTTATTAAATTACTAATTCAAAATGGATTCTAATCAAAAACAAATAATAATAAAGAATATAAATATAACAGATAAAGATTAAAAATAAAAAAACAGAAAAAATTAAAACAATGATTAGTTATTAAAGAGATTTTATCATTTCAATTGATATATAATAATAAATAATATTTATTAAAAGATTTTTAAAGCATTTTTATAAAATTTTAATTTGAATTTAAACAAAATTTTAGCTTAAATTTAGGTCTGAAAAAAATTCATCTAAATTAAACTCAAATTATATAAATTATTTCGATTAAATATTTATAATCAAATATTTTTATTTTTATTTTTATTTTATTAAATAATTAAAATATTAATTTAAATAAATAAAAATTATTTAACAAATAATCAAATTATTATTTTTAATTAATAATAAATATATTAATTAAATAAAATATTTTACAATTAAAATGATTCTGACATTCTGATATATCTGATATATTTGGATATATTTAAAAATTTAACATATCAAATATAACTGAAATATTTGAAATATTAAATTTAGTAAATATAATAGATTTATCAGACATATATAATATGTTAGTTATATTTTTCTATATAATAAATTTTATATAAAAAATGTATAAAATAATCTTAGAATAGTAGAGTTCAGTATTCTTAATTTTTTTTTAGCTTTAAGAATATAATTCTCAATTAAATATATTTCTGTTATTAATAATCAGGCAATTGTAATTCATTTTGTTTTACTTTTCTTATTTTTTTTATTATTCTTTATTTTATTTTTTTAATTAAAAAATATATTTTTCTTATTAATAAATATATCAATATTATTATTATACAGTATATTATTATTTGCAAAAGTTAATTTTATGTTATAATTTCATAAAAAGTTTACTTGTTATTAATTTTAAAAAGTAAATTACCATTTTATACTTTGTTTAATTATTATAGTTTATAAGAATCACATATTAATATTATATTATTATCCTATAATATTAATAACTAAAATTATAGTTATATAAAATTTATAAGTTTAATTTTATCAAAATTATTAATTAAATCTTAAATTAAATATTAATTTAAAAGTAAAATATAATTGTAATTAAAATAGTTTACTAACATTTTTAAATACTTAAATATATTAAATTTGAAACAAGAATATATATTTTTTAATTACAAATATTTATAAATATTTATTTTTTCATTTTAAAATATAGAATTTGAACAAATTAAACTTAAGATAATTAAGATTATAGATATATACTTTTTAGTTAGAAATATTTACTTAAAAATAATGGTTTAATTAAATATAATCTAGCTGATTATGACTAAATAATATAATTATATTATTTAGTCATAATTAGCTTAGATTAGATTATTTAATAATTAAATAACTTAGATATGATGATTAAATAATTTAAATATGACTAAATAATCTAGATATAACTAAATAACTTAGATATGGTAATTAAATAATTTAAATGACTAAATAATCTAAATATAATAAAATAGTTTAAATATAACTAAATAATCTAAAGTTAATAACTTAAATGTGATTAAATAATCTAAGTAATAATTTAAATGTGATGATTTTTTATACCTTATTAATTTTCCTACTATATTCATTATCTTTGAAATTAATTATCTTTACTATTTTCCTATTTATTATTTATGATTATATGATTAAATCACCTAAATACAACTACAGTTAAATAACCTGAATATGTTAATTTTTTATGCGCTGTGCATCAATAATACTTTTTAATATAATTTGCACTGGTAGAAATCTTCAGTTAATTAGTTATTGAGTTCTATGTTAGTAATGCAGACTGTTTATACTTGTTTGAATTTCAAGTTTTATATTAAAATTTCTATCCTTTTGTGTCTCTTTAGTTATCTACTAAAGTATCAAAGATATTTCCCTTTTTTACCTATTTGTTGCTCACCAAAATGTAATAAAAAAAATATCATATCAGATAACACAATAATTTAATGTAAATCTGCAATTAATTTTAGCTGATATTATGCTATAATTTTGGCTAATCTTTAGAACATGTGATTTGAGGATCTAACAGTGATCTGATAGCTATCATAAAACTGATAAGAAGCTAGTATAATTCTATTAATTCACTAATTTTAGACTACTTATATGTTAGCGTGTTATTATATCTAAAGATCTGATCAAAATTATGAAATAGTATTAGTCAGAATTAAGTGAATATATTATAATTTACTGCATCTTAAGTTCTAAATACTTTTCATAACTTTCTCGTAATTTTTGAAGGATATTTGAGGATGTTTACCTATCTTAAATGTTATATTATACTTTAATACCTACTAGTAATAGGGTATCCTTCTTCTATTATTTTATATAAAAATTCTGAAGAAAGATACACCTATTAAGAATATATTTATTCACGATTTGCTTGTCAATTTGCTATATATTTTTTTGTATTTATCAAAAAAAATAAATTAAATATTTTTGAATTTATAAAATTATTATATATTTTCATACTAACATTATGCATACACCAACTACTTCTGATCAAACTGATTGCACTAGAACCACTCGTTATGATAGTATTGATTCTAATGAATATTAAAGTAATTCAAGTAGTTATATTAATAATAGATCTGACTTAAGGTCAGATAATTATAATGATTATGAGTCTAATTATAAGTCGAATAATAAAAAACTTCTTACGCTAGAAGTCAGTTTTGGTGAAATCTGATCTGATATAATCTGGTTAATTTTTATAATTCTGGCTGAAATTATAAATTTTAGGTGGAATTATGAAAATTACGAAAATCACATAATTTTTAATTTCTATATGCGCAGGTATATCAATCAATTTCCTTTTCTGATGATAGCTATTTCATAAAAAAATTTTTCAATTTTTAAATTTCTGTATTTTTATCATTTTGTGCTACTATAATACTGTTTATTTTCCTTTTTAGCAATTGCCATTTCACAAAAAATTTTTCTATTTTTTTGATTTTTACAGTCCTAACACTCTGTATAATCTGTGTAACTCAATTTTTAAAAATAGAAATAATCAGAGGCCTCATATTTTGAAATACGTTATTAGATCGATTAGAAAATCCAGTTTCTATCCGGTCAATTCTGTGATACAAACAGATCAATTTGAATCTGATTAAATTTCAGATGGATGACCAGATATCTAAATTGATCAGATTCAGAGCATACCTCTACCCTACGCTTCAACCAATACTATTAAAACTCTATTGGTTTAACCTAAAGATGGTACTGCAACTGGTTGCAATTGATGACAAATAAGTATCATAAGGTTGCAACTAGTTGCAACATTAATAAAAATTGAATTGCAACTAGTTGCAATTGGTAACAAATAAATATCACATAGTTGCAACTAATTATAATGCCATCTTTAGTTTAACCACTAAATTTAAAAGAGTGAAAGATTAATGTGACATATACTTTAAGGCAGAAAAAGTTTAATAATAATTTTTCTTCTAAGGATTTGCTAAATGCTAGTTAAAAAATTTTTTTATCATTATCTAAAAATATGTCAGATGAAAAGAGATCATTAAAATATTTTCCAATCTATTCATTTCTCTTTCTGAATGAAAAAAGGTTTAGTTTATATAATACTTATGATCAGGATAAAGTAAAAATAAATTAGTTATTAAAATTGATCAAAACGGTGATTGTGTCTTAAGTTTTTTGTTGCAGATGATATTTTAGAAGTATATGATTTACTAGGTATTTACAAATGTATTAATAGTTAAAAATCTTTAAAGGTTGTAATTGATATAAATATTCTACAGGAGGATATGAAAATAACTGGTGTTAAGATACATGAAGTATTCATTTGAATCTACCTATCTTTCATAAGAACCTTGTACCAAATTCTTGATTGTAATTAGGAAAATATTTTTAATAGATTAGTAATTGCTACGTCTTTAGATTTTAGCAAATATAGCTATCATGTTTTATATGCACTGACTCTTTTTATCAATCATCATGAACTTAAAGCATTTATAAAATTAGATATATCTTAACCAAAAAGAAATTTGGTAAATATATTAATTGAGGATTATCTGGTTAGAATTTTAACCTTTATCTTATCAATTCAGCAAAAAAAAGTTATGTATAATGCATTCTTCAATTCTTACTAGATAATAGGTAAAATGATTTCAATTATACTAGAATTTAGTCATCTATTAGCTTAAGGCTTGAAGTAAGATCCTGATTACTTAATACAGAAAAAAATAACAATTTATTGAGAATAATCATAGATTAAGATATATAATAAAAATGCATAAATCTAGTTTTGTAAAAGTATTCTAACTATCTTAGAAATTAAAATATCAAAAAAAATAATTTGCTAAACTTCATATATTTTAACTGAAAAGCTTCACTAGAATGCCTACTATGTAAAACGTATACATGACAAGGATCAGTGATGGTTCAGTTATATATATACTAATAGTAAGATATTCATAGTAAAATGCTTTTGGTAAGGTAGTGATGAACTTAGAAAAGTATTTAAATATGATTCATCTATTATGAAAAAAATTTTGCAAAAAAATAAAAATTTATCACAATTATCTCTTAAGGTAAAAGTTTCTAGTTTTTCAAAAACTTTCATACAATTCCTATCTTAAGTTAAGTATAATGATCCCTTTATAGCAATAAAAACATATGAGGAGAGAGATATAAGACCATTATTTAATAAAGGTAATATTTATATGAGATTATCTTAAAAAACAGGAAAAATATATATTATTAAAATTTTATCTATTTCTGACATTGTAAATTTACTT